AGTGGTCTGAGGTGCAGAGATGAGATGTAGCGCTGGTTGGGTCTTATCTGATGTGTAGATATGGTGGTTGAGGTAGGGAGGAGGAAGGTGTGGGTGGGTGGGTAGGTGGCTGGGGTGGCTCTGAAAGGACTCAGACACTGCCATGAGGCCAGGGGCTGTTTGTGTTGGCTGACACCTTCCTTACAGCAGTAATCCAGTCTTACTCCAGCTGGCTACACCTCCCCCTTCCTTTTTTCCTCCCTACCATCTATCCTTCCTTCCTTTCCTCCTAAAGGCAGCGAAATCTCTCTCTCTCTCTCTCTCTTCATGCCTTCTTTTTTTCTCTTTTTCCACTTTGTTTCTTTATTCATCTGTGTTTATCTCCCTCTGTTTTTTTCTCCACCCTGCTCTTTATGTGTTTTTCAGCTTTATGAGCACTTCACAACAGCATTCACAGGAGTAATTTGAGTTTAAGGAAGTTGAGCAATCCAACAGAATAATCTTTAATTTGATCGCTAGAATTAAAGCAACCAAAGACCATGAGATGATGTGGAGTTTCCTCTTCTTCCTCTCCTTTTCCATGTCTGAGATCATCTGTAGATGTTAGTGAAACCTCACACCAGCCAATGCTCATTCAGTAAAAAATTCATTTCCTGTGCGTCGTCCACTGGAAGGCTGTCGCTCTGTCACTTAATTATTTAAAAAATGCCCATCATGTGAAGTCAGCGATATGTAATTTACCACTACTGGCGCCAGGGGCACCCAATTGATTTATTATAGAGGCCCTTTAATGTGAACAGCTGTTTCCTACTAAAAATAGGTCAGGGGTCAGATAAAATGACCTTGTTCCTTTTTTTTTTTTTTTTTTTTTTTTTTTTTTTTTTTTTTTGGTCCTCCCATAGAGATAGAAAGCTGGATGTGAGGCAGGGAATGTTAATGTTTGATTCAGATGTACAGTCTCTGTCTCAGTCTGTTTGCTTTTGCTCAGTGCATGGGGCCAGTATAAGGGATCATTACAAATTGTGTGTCATCTGATCAATGGCTCTAGCTTCTAAAATAATAACTTAAAGGCTTTTTGTTTGATTATATATTTTACTCTACGATTGAGTTTCCATGAATGTTTTATATTGATCTGTTGTGTGTTGATGGAGAGAGTATTTTTTCCGTAGTGTAAATGCTATAAATTGTTTCTGTCCTGCTGGGAAATCATCACAGGTATGAACTTTATCAAATATTAAGATATTGATTATCTGCACAAAATATCAGCTTTATCATCTTATATTAAACAAATTTATCCAAAAGTATTTTTTGTATCTGTATTTGTCAAACTCTCTTTTCTCCTCTGTCTGGCTATCTGTATCCCTTATCATTTGATGTCTAGCCGTTTGAAGACAAGCCGTGTGGCTCTTGTGTTCACTGTGGAAGTCGGAGGAAGGACTTAGGGAGTGGTTCAGGGGCCCTCAGCCGCGGCACTTCCCACCAGAGTGACCTCTGACCCCTGGTGCCATTAATCACTAGGCTCCTGATGGCCCTGTCCCTGGGGGAAAATCAGTCCGGGGCAAAGGATGATGGGAGGTGAAGCCTGCAGCCAATTACAGATTGGCTCAGAGCAGCCGAGTGGACAAATCAGGGCTTTACTGAGAGATGAAATACCCAATAGCTGCCTACTTGAGGCCTGTGTGGCGTAACGGCATGGAGTGGTCTCGTAACATTGGCGATCATGATGTCTCTAGATTTCTCTAAAGAAAAATGAGAAATACAGTTGAAATGGGAACATTTATAACAGCAGAATAGAGTGCATGTTAACGGGACTGTGAGGCAGAGTTGTGCTGGCGCGATCAAAAGAAATGTTTTGGACTGGTCTAATTAAGCCTGTTAGAGCTAAATGTCTCCAGGGTTGGAAACAGAGCAGATGTTGGACACCAAAGGCAGGCTTTCAAATTAGGAAACTCTCTGGCTAACTGCCCCAAGTGTTGCTAATGTGATTTTTGGTCAATTACGGTATTATCAAAGGTGCTTTCCCAGCACTTTCATATGTGGTCGGGCCATGTTGAAATGTGAAACCTGGGTGATGTCAAGTGTTGACTAATTAATGCTGTTTTAGGTTTCAAAACCACCACACTTAAGATATATAGATAGCTATTTGGTTTACTCACTCACACACACACACACACACACACACACAACTCTGCTGTCTGAAATCTGTCCTTTTTTGGCTTGCTTTTTGTAGTTACGCACTCTGAAAGAAGTTCCTTGTAAATATATTAAATCTGATCTGATTTGAAACAGCCACTGATAAAGGGCGAATAAAAGCATAGGCGTGAATCAAAGCCTAACTAACTGCTGGCCTGTCACTATGGGGCCAGTGCTGTTGTGTTTCATTTGTTGTGCTCTCATTGTTCACGTCCGGGCCAGTATGAAAACATGGCTTCCTGCTGACCTGCAGTTTAATTCACACATCAATAACCCCTGGCTGATCTCTGACCCCTCTAGTTGTACTAATTGTTTGATGCAAGATTGATGTCCAACACTGCATTAAATAACTGACGAGGTGCTGGCAGAAAAGCATTCCTGGTGCTTTGATCCGCTGCGTGTTCTGGAAATGTAGCTAATGCCTAGAGATGTAGTGGAACGTCTGTCATTTACATTTAGTTTACAGTGCCTTTTCAGAGTAAAGTTGACCTACTTTTCAGTTTGATAGGAGGACAGGACCTTTTTAGTATTTATTGTACAGTTGCCTATTATACCATTACATTACTGGCTGCAATTTATATACACATTTACACACCACTGTATATGTTTTAACTTGTTTAGAGCTGATTTGGAAAAGGTATCTCAATACATGCTTTGATTTATTCTGAAATAAGTCTGTTTATAAATAGCTAACCCCTTGAGACTAACCATCTCATATTCAAGGGAGTCCTTAAGGACAGTTATACAAATAAACACAATGACACAAAACATGTAACAAATAAGTAGAATAATGAGATAATTAAAAGATACCAAATGTGACAAAAAAATCAAATCTTTTTTTTCTATGTACGTTTTTGTTTTGTTTGTTTTTTAATTGGGAATGTACCGACCTGGCGTTTAACAGAGACAATGAATAATTGTTCTCCTCTCCTCTGTACAAAGCCAATTCTTGTTATCTGTAAAGGAAGCTGGCATCTTGGCAAAGGCCCTCTTGTTTTCTTAATCGTAATTGGCTCTGGAGATAAGATGGCTTTTTTCCCAGAACGGCTCAATGTTATTAACCATGTACAATATGCTGCGGTGCTGTGGTTACATTCACTTAACAAGGTGAGAGAAAGTCTTACTGTTGTGTTTGGAGGTAGGCCTGTGTATTTACTCCATTACATAAAACCAGCACCACTGAATGCAGTTTATTCAGTCTTTAATTATTAATTTAGGTGAATGGAGGTGGACATAATCATTTCGACAGAGGAGGGATTTTTGCAGGGCTGTTGTATTCGATTGCATTAGATTTTAAAGCTGCACCCAATAAACTGGTTCCACTGGACATGTTTCAGTCCTACATGTATTTCTGCTTTTTAAAACACTGTCCTGGCTGCCTGTAATCACTTGCGTGTGTGTTTTAATGTATAGACTACCTTTACCAACCTCTAAAAACTTCACTCACTTCCCATTGTTGCTATGTTGACATGCAGAATGAGGAAACGATATTGAACAATTATTGCTCAATATTGCAGCGCCATTGGCTTTCACAGCCCCTGTGTAGAGACCCACTGCACCATGATAATTTATATTAACAGGTTTAACTGTCTCACCACGCCCAAATACAGAAATGTGGAAGTCTGCTATATCTGGACAAACTTTAAGTCATTTTGATTAAACACTAGAGCAGGAACCGCTTAAGTTTCAACACCTTCAACTTCACAACCAATATTAAGTAGTGCACTTAAAAGGTCAGAGCCACAGTGTCCTGACAGTGCTGCCACACCTTCCTGATCTCCACACTTACATAGGTCCATGTGTTCACGTAGGCCCCTTGCACATAGCTTAGACATGTTGCTAACTTAATAAAATGAACCAGGGTTAATCTTCATGGCCTGATCACACTGCTATTTTACAAAGTCATTAATGAGTCTGATTCCAGGTTAAGAGCAGCCTGTGCAGGGGCTGAAGGATTGGCTGGCATTAGCTGTGAGGGCAAATCTGTACGACTCCCCTTCGCTGGGCCCGACAGCACTAACAGCAGAGGGGTGTGGATTTACTCGGTACAATCCTCTAAATGAGCTTCATTATACTGGCCTATCCAGGAGCCCCCCACCCACCACTGCCCATGGATTAGCAGGTCGTCACAATCCCCAGTCCCCTCCTCCCACTTCATGCTTACACTGTTGCGCATTGCACTTTTTGATTCTGTTGCATACTGTGAACCAACCCCTCCCTCCTCCTCGTTGCCCCCTCCTCCCCACACACTCCCTGCAAGCCTCACTGCAGATAAGCTGTTGACAAGATTAATGCATCTGTATCAAAAGTCTAGAGCCGCTTTGCTTTGTGTTGTTTGTGAATCCCCTTTTCCAGGTCAAGCCAGATTGCCTTAACTGGGCTAATATGTTTTCAAGCCAAATTTAACAGGTGTGCTGGCAACAGGCCTGACACACTCGTCTTAACAGTATCCTGACAGCGCTTAGATCAGTATCTAGAGATCGCAAATGATTCTGGCTCTTTCAGCATTGATTGGTGGATGGATTAATGCATAATTTAGAATAAATCCTGCTTTGTCGTTTTCACTGTAGCAGCTTTAAATGTATTTTCTGTGTTGGGTGCCAATATGTCTCTGCAGGGATGCACACAAGAGAACTTGTCAGCATCAGGGTTTACCATTACTGTTGAGATTGTCCATGTTAAAAATGCATGCATATGTGATACACAAATGCACTTTAAAATACATTCATTCACTATAAAGCATTCATTGTGCATCACTCAATTATTCCGATTCAGATGTATGATTTATACTGTATTGATTTATTTTATGGTTTTCCTGTCCTCCATAGGAACCCCAGTCAATCGTATCCCCATCATGGCCAAGCAGGTCCTGGATCTGTATATGCTGTATAAACTGGTGACAGAGAAGGGAGGCCTGGTGGAGGTAATCAACAAGAAGATCTGGAGAGAAATCACAAAGGGACTCAACCTGCCTACCTCCATCACCAGTGCAGCTTTCACCCTGCGCACACAGTAAGTCTTTGCATCTGTGTCACCAAACAACCAGCGAAATTAATTTCATTGGCTGCTGTTGCTTTAAATTGACCCGGCCTGTTTGTTCAATGTTGATCTTATGCAAACTCTAATTTAATTTACGGGAACTAAATAAGGAATCTCAAATGTGTGACTTCTCAGCTGTGAACAAGCGCCTTCCTTATTCCATGAATATATGTGCTGTATAGTATGTGGATTTTTGTGTGTGTTAGTATGAGTACGGATGTCAATATTAACCCGTGCCTGTGTGTTTATACACATGTGGGTTTGTTTCCTCCACCGGGCCGCCTTCCCTCTTCACATTCAATCCCTCCGTCCATTACATCACACATAGAGCCCATTGATTCCCATAGATTTATTGATGTGATTTGGGTCAGAGTTCACAATGACTAAGGTGGGCTTTGACTGACAGATTGTATGCCAAGCCACGACTAAAATGCTCTCGCTATCTCGATGGAAATCGTTCCGTAGGTGTAACACCTCTCCATACTGTCCACTAGCAGCGTGCCCTAATGATCCTTTATGTATTTTTAATGTTGGTGGGCTGTTGTGTTGTGTTGCTTCGTGAGCTTTATCTAATGGACACTGCTCTTAGCTTCTTATTGATCTGCTTTTCTACCATCATGCAGTCAGCATACTGTATCTTCAAATCACCGACTGTACTTATGGGATGGAGAAAAATACCAGAGCTGTGACTGTGCATACCTGTAGAGCCCCTGTGATGTCATCTAAGTATACACAGCATACAAAACATGTTTTTGCACAATTGCCATACCAAGTGTCTCATTAAATCCTGTGCCTATACATGCACTTAAGTAACAAGGTTTCTGGCCTCTGTAGTAATGTATTTTTTAGATGTCATTTGTATAAGAGGGGTTTCTACAATCAGGGTAGGGGATTAGAGAAACACAGTTAACAGCTAGATTTCTGCAAGAGAAAGCAGATTTTTTAAACCATGCCTATGCGTGTAACCAGGTGTCAAACAGGGTTTTTACATACAATCACTTTTATAGCAGTGCTGGGGACAAAATGAAAGATCATTCTTTATAGTGGTCTATTCTTTCATCCGAAATTAAATCCAAACACTGACTAAAAGTTACACTGACCTGTGAAGTAATTTATAGCCTTTACAGACTAAACAAATCCTTTTTTTTTTTTTAATTTCTTAATCTTAATTGGTAGACTAGTTGTAAAATTTAGACCTGTTTGCACCTTTTGGGAAAAACTCTCACTGCAAAATAAAAAAAAAAACATCAGACAACAGTGACTTATATCATTGTTCCACTTAAAATAAGACAGTCTTGGTTGTAAGGCATGATTAGGTAGGGGAGATATTAGTTTACATATAGACTGAAACACAGGATTAGAAGGAACCAGTTTACTCCAGTACATGCCAGCGCTTTCTTTGGTTTCCTGCTTTAACTGTATTTTTTCCATAAACCTAAATCCTTGTGTGCACGTGCTAATTTAGTCACTGGTCACCTGAAAAAATATGTTGAAGGCAGAGATTACTCTTCTTGGATTGAAATAGCTGATAGTCAGTATAATTTAGTTATGTAGCATATTTGAGTTAATGTTCTTAAATTTGACAGACTTTTTATTTTAATTCATAATAAAGCTGGTTTTGGTTATGTTTTTGATTAAGCAAATAAGTCTGAAAGATCCTGCTAATTCTTGCTGTGTGATTTCTTTTTTTTTTCTGTAGTGATCTGATGTATTGCTTTGTGCATGTGTGTGTTCTCCTCTCAAGGTACATGAAGTACTTGTATCCGTATGAGTGCGAGAGGAAAGGCCTCAGCTCCCCAGGTGAGCTCCAGGCTGCCATCGACAGTAATCGACGCGAGGGTCGTCGTCCAAGCTACAGCAGCAGCCTCTTCCGCTTCTCTCCCTCTCCCAGCACAGCTCCCCACATCCTCTCACCTCCAAAGATGCACCTTTCAGCTCTGGGGGCAGGGGCCTCGGGGACCCTCAACGGCCTGCAGGCCTCACCAGGACCCTCTCTGAAGAAAGGTAGGAACCATACAGCTGACAACCAGACATGGCGACTACTGATGACGTGAATAAAACCTCTTGAATCAGTAGAGACAATAACCTCATTACTTAAGGCCAAAACACTCAGTCACCAAACTGCTGCCATTATTATTGTCTATGAACAACCCCACAGCTGCGCCAGCTAGACTTGCGCCGTCGCTTGTGTATGGCCACCCTGCGACCCTTCATGCCACTGTCCTATTTCGAATCTGGCTGCCTCTGGAAAAAAAAGACATTTTCTTCTCCACTTGCTCCCTTGTACATCCCGCCTCCTGTAGCAACTCACATGCTCAGCTTCAGTGGCATCTTGACTTCTCACCTCTTGTCTCTAGTGTGTAACTAGTTTTTGAGGTTGAGAAATATCTCAATTTCTTGAACTATACGACCCATAAAGCCCTCGTTAAAAAATATTAAGGCTTATTGAAAAGTCATGAATTTTTAAATTTTGTCCACCAAAGTGTGTGGGAACCCTGAACTTTGTGTGGTCTTGTGTTGATGCGCTGCAACACAGTGCTTCCTACTGGTGTTAGGGGCGGCACTCAATGTGCGTCATATGACGAGCTGCAGCGGTGCATCAGCAGTGTGTTGTCCGCTTTACATGAGTTTTACACCAGTTAGTATGATTAAGATTTTGCAAATTATCGCATAGCTTCATGGCAGCACAAGGAGGAGGCTGATCTTTATTCCACAAATACACATGCTGGGAAATACAAGTTTATAGTACGTGGGGGTTACCTTCGAAAACAAGTCTGCTTCCAAGTAAACAGGCAGCTCTCAGATATAACGTACAAGTGTCTAACTATGAATGGGGGAAGAAGGGTGTAACTGGAAAAAACAACAAGCATATACACTCATAAATTTGTCTCTGGATCCATGAAGGTTATAATAAACTGAGTAAATGTTTACGACAGAGAATGTAGCCTCTCTATACAGGTTGGATTGAACTGGAGTTTTCCAGTTACAGATGTGCTCAGACTTTAAAGTATTTATAGGGAAATACTGCCCTCTGTGGCAATTTGGAAAAACTACATGTAGTCACAGCAATTGAAAAACATGATTGAAATACAGTAGTCCTTCTCTAAGATACTTGTTTTAATGATTTAAGGAGGGTTTGTTTTTTAGTACCAGCATGATTACACAGCAAAAGAAAAAGCAAGATATATAAGCCCTGACACGATTCCAAAATAGTTTTCATCTGAGCACCTGTTCTGTTTTTGTCAAATGTATGTGCACGTATATGTGTGTAGGTCTATTGGCGTGTGTGTGTGTGTGTGTGTGTGTGTGTGTGTCTGTCTGTCTGTCTGTCTGTCTGTCTGTCTGTCTGTCTGTCTGTCTGTCTGTCTGTCTGTGTGTGGGTGTGGGTGGGTGTATGTGTGTGCAGGAATGCTGATGTGACAGTGTCCTGTTACATTTGCGTATTACATTCTCGCAACAAGTCCTGATCCTTCCCTCCTCTGTGTCCCGCCATCGGTGTGTGTGTGTGTGTGTGTGTGTGCATTTTAAGTGTTTTTATATGACTTTGTGGGTGGGTGTGTGTGTGTGTGTAGCCCATCCAGGTGTTTAAGAGTCCATGAGTAAACCTATTTAGCCTCAGGCTGCTGAGACCCCTCACCTTTACTGTTGATTAATAACATGGTTCCCACGCTGGGGGGGACACTTTATGAACTTTGAAGCCTTCAGTCCACATCAGTGGGACCCAGTTGATAACTGTCATTACCCTGCTGTCTTATCTGATGTCACTTTGACTTGGCTGGAATGTAAAACCTCCATGGACCTTGACAGTTTCCATGGTTTTGCTTGTGTAATACACTGTATTTTACCTGTCAATCGTTCTATGGGGTCAGATAGGACAGCAGGTGGTCTGATCAACCCAGTCACTACTGATGTGTGACTGCTTTGCGTGCCCCAAACCACCTCTGTTTTGTTTTTATTTAAATGAATGTTTCTTACAGTGAGGTTCTGTCATACTGTGCTGGAGGTCTGTGTTGTACATTACAACCATTTTTGTTACGTCTTTCTAGAGGTCTGCTTGTTTTGTCATCTTTTAGTTTGCTAATAAGTTAAAATAGGGATGGAATTATACACTGATTGGTGTGGATATTTAATTTAATGTGATTAAATGTTCAGATTCTCCCATAGTAATTCATAGACTTTCAACCCTCCAGTTCTCTCTCTTCCAGATGACCTGACCCCCTCCATCATGGCAGCAAGACCCTCCATGGCGCTGGCCCTGGGTCACCAGCAGGTTGCGGGTTTGGCAAGAGCCGCCACTCTGGAGCAGCTGAGGGAAAAGCTGGAGACCAGCGGCGGAGGAGAGGGGCCAGAGAGGAAGATGGCCCGCCTGGCGGAGGAGCAGCAGCGCCTGATGCAGCAGGCTTTCCAACACAACCTGCTGGCCATGGCTTCCCAAATGCCCATGAACCTGCGTCTGGGAGCCCCCACCATCACCACCAGAGGTCAGTGCTGCCAAGTTTGTCAAAGTACTTTTGGGGATTTTGAGGGAAAATTGAAAAATTTTGAAAACACTAAAACATTATTTCTGTTTGTGCAGATGAGAAGCAGCAGGATCTGTCACTGAGCATCTCAACCAATGGAAATGCCAGCATTACTGTCTCAGTGGATGTCAATGGCACACTCTACTCAGGTTTGTATGAGAAAGGAGTTTAATTAATTAATCAATCAATCATTTATTTGTCACATAGGATAATGTAAGGTACAACTCTAGTGAAATGTGATCCCATCAGCTCCTTTAACTTGTGCACTCTAATTTAGTCCTTTTTTGTATCTACTCACATTTTTGGCTGCTGCTTTATAATTGTCTGTGTTTTCTGGTTGTGGAATGATTTAACTGCACGCACATCCCAACCTCAACAATACGGCTGGTTGCTTGTTCTGGCAGCGCCACTCTCCAGCCGCCTCTGAACAGCGTATAGCAGTGATCCACAGCAGGATCGGGACAGCATCCCACAATCCCGCCATCACACCAGCCCTTATTTACCATTAAGCACATTCCTCCACTTCTTCTCTTGCCAGAGCCCTCTGCTGTGTCAGATCGGCATATAATAGAGTCACCTGATTGAATAGCTCCATCCAGGATTAGCCAAGTTTCAGTGAATCAAAGGATATTGCAATTCCTGATATCCAGTTAGAAACTGATGCGGCACGGAGGTAGTTAGCTTTTTTACCAACGCCTGTACAATAAGTGGCCGGATGCTAGTTCAGCTGCTCATTCTTCTCCATCTTTTCCTCGATGTTTACTGATGTTTACATTTGAAAACCTCGACTCGGCTAGCTAGCAGATTGCTAACATTAGCTAGAAGTTGGCAGAAGTTTACAGACTGGCAAGTTGATTTCAAAATCCCAATGAGTGACTCGCAGCTACACGCCGCCAGTGTCCGAAGCCAACCACAAAAACCACCACCTAGACTTGCAAAATAGACATGAGAACCTAAATGTAGCAGAGCTGACTGGAAACATCTGTACCTTTTGATATTATTAAGTGTTTCATTGATCAACAGTAATAAAGTGTTAAATCCGTTACTTTACCCTTGTAATAATAAAGGCACTATATTAATGTAATGATTGTTTTACAACAGGAACCCTGTTTGCTCAGAAGTCTGGTGGGGCCCCGGGGCCTGCTGTATCTGCTGCTGCTGCCGCCTCAGCCTCCCCTGCTGGAACCAGCACTAGCTTTGGCTTTTCTGCACCCCTGGCTCAGACCCTAAGCCCAGCGTCCTCCTCCTCCTCCAAGGGTCCCGGCTCGGCTGAGCCGACCCCCAGCGGGTCACCCTAACTCAGGCTGCCCTTTGTACCTGCTCCCCAGGCCCCTCTTCCACCGGGAGGCCCAGCAAGAATATACAGTACAATGAGAAACCGATAAGAATAACAAACTGTTGCACAACAAATACCTCATCAACCCTGTCAACCTCTTGGCTGTCCAATCATGAACACAGAGCCCAAGAATATTATATGACAGCACGTGCCCAAACGCACAGCTATGCATTTTATTCGATGTGCAAACACATACACACACTACACTACAAACACACACACACACACGTATACATATACAGACACACAATCTACACGTACATACATTTCTTAATCCTAATGTACATGCTAAACACAATCAGCTCAGCCAAAACCCACTGACAGGTGTAGTCACAACTGAACTTGAAAAGTTTTATCTTAGGACATTTTGTTTGTTTGTTGCCATTTTGTCGTCTTTTTGATTTTGTGTTTTAGAATGATTTTGTTTTTAGTTTTTCTCTTTTTACATACCTCAAATCAAGTAACCTGCAGTGGTGTCTTTACCTCAGGAGTTGTAGTATATTTAACCTGAATCAACTTTATTTTTATATTCTTTTTGACCTAGTTGCAATCAGGGGAAGTCGGGTAACTCTCACCAGTGGAACCTCATGTACAGCACCCACCTCACAGTGACAGGCCTCCAACCCGGGCCGCTCAGGTTTCCTCAGCACACTGTAGACTCTTGCTGAGCTCAGACTGGTGAATGATCAGATGCTGTAGATCAGCACATTAAATACATATAACTCCGCCCTCAGCTCAGCAAGTCCATTATATTGGTTGGAAGGTTAACAGTGTACGCAAACCTCCCAATATGAACAGGATTTCACCAAACTGAAAACTTTCATTAGCAATGCACAGGATTTTCTGTCAACTTTCTGCAGGTCCGCACAAACTGTCTTTAAAAACGTAGCGCACAAATTTTAGGGAACAGCAACTCTAATCCACCACAGCAGGCCTAGCAGACCCTGAGCTTGTTTCTCCCCTCGTCAACGTTACAGAGGGGTCGTACAAAATCAGGTTTGAGTTTGTTGTCCCCGATTTTGTTTGTGTATCCTTCCTCCAGCCGCAGCCACAGAGCCGAATGTCAATCTGACGGCGGTCATCGTCAGCGCATGGTTCTCAGACCTCATATTGGCTTCTCTGCTCTGGAGGGCGTCTCTCTCAGGAAGCATTGTGACAACTGCAAGGAATCACTGTTAATTTAAAGAAAAAGAAGGGATTCATACCTGAAGAATTGACAAGGGGACATGACTGTTCAAGAATACCTCATCAGTCTCTCTCAAAAGGAGAGCTACACTACGTACCTCATACGGCTGCGAAGCCATCAAGACTTGACGCCACAACCCGTGATGGAAATCCTAGCTGAACTGAAACTGACATGAACGTACTGACACACTGCTGGTGGTTTTTGGGGACAAACAGAACTAGGATGGGTTTGCTATCTCTCTCCTTCTGTGTTGACATGTGTAACTTGTTTTATGCTTGCTTCCATTTCCTTTTTTTTTTTGTTCCTGAAGTTGTCTGAGAAGAGTGATATATCTGCTTTTTTTTTTTTTTTTTCAGGGAAGAGGAAAAGAATAGTTCCTCGCTGACACGTGTAGATTTGTAGGATTGTCAGGTTTCACGGTCGCAGGGGTCAAAAAATGAAAAACAATCGACCATTTTAACCTTAAATTTGACTGCAAACACCTTTTGTTTTTTTCACGACAGCAGCGAAATGATATGCATGTATACAATCAAGTGACCAGTGTTTTAACACCCTAATCTCCTGGTTCACATTAGCTTCTGGTTATTGCACAGCTAGATACCAAAGACTAGCCAGGTCGCTCCTCATGATTGATCCCTCGTACAATCCTGCCCACAGCTGCTGTGGTGCACAGCAAGGCAGTTCAAGGTCTGATTTGGACTGCACAGAAAGTTGCATCTAAACTCATTTAATCTGATTTTGAGTTTTATCCTAAAGCAAATGGAAAATATCTTTAGGTGAGGTCAAGTAATTCCCTTGTTTCACGTTTTATGGCATGATTTAATTAACTTTAAGTCGATTTAAAGACTCAAAATCTGATTACATGACATGTACAGAAATTTTTGTTAGCATATATTTTAAATTTTGTTATCCAGAGCAGTTACCCAGATGCTGTGGCTTTCCTGTGCTGTCTCCCTAATTTAATCCTCTACACTTCTGGGCTCTTGGGGCTGGTTTTTTAACACCCAGTGTGGACAGAGGCCCACAGGTCTGGCCCCTTTTATTAAAAGACCCACTTCCTGATAATCCAGAAACAGTTGGATTATCCCTTGAATTGTAAGGTATTTTTCTCCCTTTAAAGTTTTAGCATTTTTGAAATACCACAAAGGATGAAAATGAATTTTCTAGCTTTATTTGTGTTGAATGTGAGGCATTTAACTGTTTAGAAATCTCTTAAAGCCCAGTGTGACCTGAGGTGGGCAGCCTTATTGCTTTTATTAGACTGTATTCTAGCCATTACTCGTCAGGTTTTGCAGATGTTTTGCAGTGCAGATCGCAGTTGAGGGTTTGAGGACGGTACTGGGAGTCCTTTTGGTGTACCCTTCAGAACCCTGTATGACACATAACTGTATTTTATAAAGGTGAGAACTGTAGATGCTGCCTTAAAGTAGTTGCTGGTGAGATCCGGCCAGTGTGGTTTTCACGTCTCAACTGGCTGCGAAAATGTCTTTCTCTTCGAGCTTAATCCTTTGGAGAGTAATCATTTTTTTATTTTGGTGAACGATTCAGTCAGACCATAGACACCAGTTTGTCACATGCTGTTGGTAACAACTGAGTTTTTGCTATTTATTTGTTTTTTGTTTTTGTCTTTTTTTTGTCCTTGTTTTAGTAACAGTGTAGCTTAATCTGTTAGCCTGTGTTGCTGAAACATTTTCTTATTTCTAAGTCCAGGCTTTCTGTTTCATCTGTTTAGTCTAAGCAATGACTGTTTAGTGTAGCTTCACTGCCTGTGTGTGTGTGTGTGTGTGTGTGTGTGTGTGTGTGTGTGTGTGTGTGCGTGTGTGTGCGTGCGTGTGTGTGTGTGTGTGTGTGTAAGCAGGTTCAATACAGTATGTGGTTGCAGTTTCTACTATGTGGAGTATCTCTCCTACATACATGTGTGTAATACCATCAGGGAAACTGCAGGTGGCACCACTGCCACGTTTATTATATCATACAGGGAGGTGATGGCTCACACATGAGTTTTGATGACATTTATTCAGTGGGAACTGCCCATTACACCCACAGTCATCTTCTGCTGTCAAATGGCACTTTGCTGTTCGTTGTTTAGGGAGTTGAAAGTGTTGAGGGTTGGTCATTCACTTCTCTTTTCTGATCTCAGCGACCGTCTGGTCACCTTGCTAACCTCAAGCCTCCTGCCACCTGATTTGCTGTATGGATGAGTATATATGATGCGTTGTGCCTGTGAGCCTGCATCTGTGTGTGTGTGTGTGTGTGTGTGTGTGTGTGTGTGTGTGTGTGTGTGCGCGTGTGTGTCTATTAGAGACCGCCCCTACCTCGTCATACCACAATACCTCAGAGCAGTGGGCTGCAGTCCCTGTTGCGTCGGATATTGAAGCTGCGTTGAGGGACGAGTCCTGACAGAAGCTGTGGTCACTTCGCTGAATGCAACGGTGGTTTTGGTTTTGCATTTTTGGATTTGAGTCGTCAGTAACTGCAGGCGAGGTCTCGTCACTCAGGAAGCTGTGAAGTTGGAAGTCTGCAGAACCTTTTGTCTCTCAGATGATTTTGGAGTTAATTCAGTTTTAAAATTGTTTAAAAACTAACCTGATCTGTGTAAAAACAGGCGCATATGCAAGTGTTTATCGAATACCTCATTTATCAATTTTATGTTGTTTTTGGCTTGTACAATGCTCCGTATATTAATTCAACTGTGGGGTTTGTGCATATTTTTGTACTGTTATTATTATGGACATGGTAATAATGATATTACTGATATTATAGTTTTCTCTTTGATTAAAGCAAACAAAAAAAATAGGACAAAACACATGGATGCTTGTAAAAACTGGTTTGTGCTGATTGTATTTAAGAGGAGCACTTTTCCAAAGTGGTTTTCACACATTCAGTTTTGTTCATATTAGTAATATAAAGATATGGTTCTCAGGGCTTTAAACTTGTATGTCATGATAAAGTTTTACTTTATATCTTATGTCTGTGTGTGTGTTTTATTTCTTCTCTAAAGTGTCATTGGGCCTCTGAGAGCACCAGACAGGGTGCTCGCAGATGTGTGATTGACACCAACTCACCTTTTAATGCTATGTGAAACACCCAGAAGCATTTTCACATCCTCTAGCGTGGTGAAACCAGCACATTCATTTCCACTTTTTGAAAGACAGGTTTCTGTATCACAGGTTCAGTCAGTTCCCTAACAAGAAATACACCCCATAGGCTCGATTATTCGAACAGTCTCTGGTTATTCCACAAGCACATCACCTCAGGATTTTTTATGAGTCATCCGAGTTTTGACAGTAATGGTATCAACAGTTCACAAGTGAGCTTGATGTGACAACCTCCCCGCAATCACACTGCAAACCAATGTGTTCTTAGCACGTCAGTCAGGAAATGTCACAATGCAAGTTGTGTAAATTTGTCTTCCCATCAAGCCGTTCTGTATTTTCCCAGCAGTAATGGTTCTTTCCCATTTAGAGCCCAGGGGGCAGACTGGAGCCATTAGTTTTACTTTTCTGTTTTGAAGGAGAACGCAAAAACTGGCACGTTTAATTTCAAGGTTACTTTGAGGGTGGAAATGTGTGAGGAGGCCAAGTGGTGCAGCCTCTGTGGTGCATGAAGCCCGCTGCTGTCATTTTACAGCTGTTTCTCTCTCTGAGGTTTGAAGAACTAAAGTGGTAGAATGTAACAGTCATTTACAGTGAACTGCAGGATGTAAAAAGAAATCGGAACAATGCACATTGACAGAAACATGTATTTAAGTAACATTTTCTTACAAAAATAAATCCATTGCAGAGCTCAAGTACGTACAGATCAAAAGTATTTAAACTATACATTATGTAAATGTAACATGGACATATAGAAGTTAATAATTGCATAAAAAACATTGCATTCATTGAAAACAATGACAGACACACCTCTTGATGTTAACTGCCCTGGATCACTGCAGTCGTGCAGGGACAAGGACACAATGTGGTAATTATTGAATTGGACAGACTGCAAACAGCAATTAATTCTTGTCAGCCGGGACTCATCTGGAAAATATTAAATGCTACAGCATTCACCTCCGTTGTTTTGGGTTGACGAGAAACATTTGAGACACGACATATTCAACCAAATCAAAGCTGTCTGCGTGGATAAATACCACCAGTGATCATACAACTCTCGTATCAAACACTTGTACAAATAAATAAAGTGCCATAGCTGCCTGGATTTAAGGGAACTGAAAGCAGGAAAAAGTTAGAGAATAAAGGTCAAATAAATTTGTTAATTTAAAAAAAAAAGATTTTACAATATCACGTGCTGCCACGGCAACCACTCGCTGCTTGAAACACCTTGAGGATCACAACTGTGTTATTTCACTGACAACACTTAATATCACTCAATATTTCACAATATGAATTTGACTGGCAGAGAAGTATTGACAAACAAATGGTCAAAAGCACGTTAAGCAAGTGAGGTAGTTAGCAAGACTGGAAATTACAGCTAAGACAGAATGTTCTCTGTAATCAGGCAGAAGTTCACAGTAAAAGGAAATGTATGTCAAACAGGTAGTATTTCAAAAGAACTCGAATGCAGTCGATCATATTTTAAGGCTCATGACTTATGTATCTGCATGATTGTGGTTTCAACAGATTTCAAGCTGCCAAAGAGGCTTCCTGCATGTGGCACTCCCCATATCATGTAGCACTATGACATTTCAGCTAGGCATCTGGTTTTCTGAAAAATAATCCCTTGCAATCTTTAAAAACCCAGAGGGTTGTTTGACAGCTTTTAATACAGTGCAGACTTTGAACCAGTTTCCTAGTGTGCAGCTCTACATGTATTTCTTAATCCAAAGATGGTTGCAGAAGAGACATATCGCCTTGCATGAGTTTTAAAAACCTGAATGAACAGATACATTTATTATTATTACGGTGTAAAGTCTTAAATAATGCACATTTGTCCAGTGTCCAAAACAAGCCAAAATGTATTGCTTTGTCTTTGGCTCTGTGACTGAAGGCAAATGTAATAATACCTGAGGCACACATTCGCCCAGTTGTGTTAAGTTTTGCACTGAAATTGCTATTGAAGTTTAGCTGAAATTATGGTAACAGTCTTCATTATCAACATTGCTTGTTGAAAGTGCACTCTGCTGTTTATATGCAGGTGATGGCAAACACCTTTGGTGGAACATCAAAGGATTCTGATATGCTAAATAAGGAACACTGAACTTTTACACGGATTTTCTACTTCACATTCTTCTTAAAATACGCATTTGTAGGCTATAGCTATTTATGTACAATCAAAATGTTGCTATTATAATTTCAATAAGCAGTAAAGCAGATTGTTGGTAAATTTAAGACATCTGTTTTCAGTAACTGTCTACTGAACTTGAAAAGGATGCTGATGCATAAATAAGAAAAGTACAAAAGTAAAGTTATTTTGTTAGGTAAATTAAAAGGGGAAAAAGGGGGACTTGTGGTTTTAACAAAAAGACTTTCATTTAGTTAAAATGTTGCGACCCTACCTATTGTGTTACTACAGACACTCAGAAGTAGGAGGTGTCATTTATTGACGTTATTCATGCATCCTTTTTTTTACTGTGTACTAACAGGACAAACTCTTGATCAGAACAGTTATTAGACAAAGCCAGAGCAGTGGGCTTGATGAACGGCCCACCGCCCTGCTCTCCACCTGTAGTCGGTACTGTGCCAGGACTCTGCTGTAGCCCATCTCCTCTGACACACATGTGTAAGTTCCCTCCTGCTCAGGACCCATGCTGTTGATCACAAGAAGGCACTGCTTCTCCCTGGAGTTGCAGGATGTGTTGCCCTTGAGGTGATGCCAGGTATACTGGGCATGATGGGACGTCACCGGGCACTGGAGGAAATACTTGGACTCTGGGGGAAGTATGATGCTGTCCTTGGCCACACCTGCCCGTGGATCACTAGAATATCTAAACGCTGAAAAAAGAAGACAAGCTCTGTTTAGCTTCAAGGCGGATGTTTGTTTTATTTAACTAGGCTGTTTCCTTATTTTAATTAGAGCATGATGAGCCTCTTAGCAAGGTGCCAGCATGCAATGGGCAAATCTTAAGTGGACCAAGCCAGGATAGCTTCTGCACCTAACAGTGAAACTGTTTTACTAAGGTGCAACAACTTAAAAGAGTTTGTTTTATCAAGGGTTATTATTACATGGTATGAAGCAGAGGAATTTACTTTTGCACATCAACTGAAGCGTGTGGTACAAGCAAGAAGAGCTGCTGAATAATGAGGAAGTCTGTCTGGTGTGAGGGTGGCAGAATCTAAAAGCGGACTAGGAGAATAGAGAACTGTATTATCAGCATACTGCAATATAGAAGGAGGTCTCTAATGTTAAATGAGAAGAAGATGGGGCCTAAAATTGAGCTTTGTGGCACACCCTTAATGACCAGAGGCCTGTACTATGAAGCAAAATTTTGGGGTTAACAAGGTAACTTTAGGGTTAACCCTAGGTTTTTAGCACTATAAGGCTGGTTCACTTTTTTACCAGGATAAATCACCATGGTAACATACACTGAACAGCTAACCCGTCCTGGAGCAGGTTAATTTCAGATCAGATCACAGTCTGTCAACACCCTGACCTCTGACCAATCAGATCGCTAGTAAAAATGTTAATATCAGTAGAATAATTTTATTGTTCCAGTCTTTCTATTTCCACTCTGGTTTTAAAACAGAACTTTTAACAAATGGAGAGATTGTTTATGAGTGTCACAGCATTTTTATAGTGCAAAGTTTATTTTATCTCCAGAATAACATGAAACACAAGTGTATTATAAGTGGAAATGAAACTGGAAGATTGTCTTTTATTTAAAAGAAAAATCCACACACTGTTAACTGTTAAAAACAACATTTTGGTCAGATATACCTCATCAAAACAGTCTGGCATTACTTGTAAGTGTCTTACGTGACATATTTGGAGTAGTATCTTAATCATCCAACTTAACAGCAGGAATTCTCACTCTGTACTTGAAATATAATAATACCTACACAAATGTTTAACCTTGGCCTACTTGTAATATTTGGAAATTATTTCTAGTGTTTCTACATCTTCTTATTTTGTTGGAAGATTACATGCTATTGTTTACATTGCACTCCAACAAATATGACTTTTTGCTGTCCCTAAAACAAGACATTCCCGCTGGTAATTAGTATTGTTTTATCTCATATATGAAGAACTCGTGGTTCTGATAATGTTGCTCATAATTAATTAACAACCCCGCCTCTGTCACATGAATGCTTTTGTGGCTGGAGAGGAAAACCCAACTACTGAGCTAGTTGATAACCAGCTTCGTGCTAGGCAGCCAGTGTTAGGGTTAGTGAAGCCAGATAACGTAAAGATGTCCAGGGTATGCTGAACTTGCGTCGTAGCACAGGCCCCAGCAGTGGGTGTGATAAGACAGTTGGAAATAAGGGTTAATAAAGAATTCAGCAAGACTAATACTTTTTTAGTATTTCTAAAAGACAGGTCAAAGCTCTTGTTAAGAAAATTAAAACTGGATCACAAGATCAGAACCACAGATCAGATGCTTGGGGCGACATTGTGGCTGTGACGTGACAAGGGCAAAACCACACTGCTTGTAGAGCAAGATAATACACTTCTTGGAAGTGGCCAAGTCGGTTGCTTGCAAGTGTCCCATATCATGTGAAGCATATGGTGAGATAAACTAACAGTTCAAATCAGCCCTAATTCCTCACTTTAGTAACAGACACACAAAGACAGGCAATATTCAGTATTCTTAATTAACCATGTGATGCAGTGGCTGTGAAGTCAAGGGCTGGTACTTTTAAAACATGGAGACTATGTTATTCAACTTGATTCCAGAGATTTAGACACAAGCAGCAGGGAGATATTACAGTATGCACTGTAGTAGGACTGGTAGGGACAACTTCAGCACAAACATCCTGGATAGTTGAACTTGAATTAGTATAGTTGTGTTTAAAGAGCTTAGCTTTTCAT